TGATGAATTTTTATGCTTTTATTAATGGCGTTGTATAGAGCCACTGACTGTTTTACATATTGCCTCCTAGCTAAAACAGTTTTAATATCGACAGCTGTAGCCACTACGTTTTTCCTTCTTTTGGCTACAATACAACGGTTAAACTTTATACCTTTATGCAGTCTTAGAACTGAATAAAAGGTGTACGGTTTCCTAACAGTAAGTACATTACTTATGGCTTATAGATCTTCTGTAGGGATATTTTTGATTTATAATGCATAATTTTGGTAAATTTCTATGTGCCCTTTCAACTTCTAAAAATTTGGTTTTTGTAGCTCCACTTCATACAGGAATACAATATACTAAGATAGATTGAGCTAAAGCAATATATATTTGGTATAGTAACTAGCGTATTTAGATAGTCGATTCTATTATTGCGGTCATTAGTTTGTTCGTTCCTGCACTGAATGAGATTGATGTTGATGTCTCCAGAGATGACTATGTTACGATAAGATTTTATGTTTCCATGGTGTGCACTCAAGGACTCAATGAATTCAGAGGCGTTTGAGTTCGAAGGTGAACGATAAATGCCCAATATCGTCAGATCAAGAATTCTTAGTTGTATGCAAGAGGCATGTTTGAGTTTAATTTCCATAAATTCAGGATTTAGGTGAGATTTAGCATAAATCATTACACCATCATTCTGGTTAAGGTTGTACGTGGTTTCTAAAGCAGTATAATTAGGGATCTGTGGAATTGGTTTTCTGCATTCTGTTAAAACTAAGACGTTCACTTCAAATTTGAGAAGTGATAGGGTAGCTTGGAGGTTATCAATGTTACGATAAATACTTCTAATGTTTTGACACAATATGGTAAGATCCGTTTTACCAATACTAATGCACTTTGTTAGGTCCTGTATATCACAACTTATATGGCTAGCTATCATGAGGATATCCGCAGTAAAACCAGAGTGACCGACATAGCCCAACGGATTAGTAAGCTGAAGTGGCAATGGGCCGGCCATATAGCTCTAAGAACCGATAACCGATGGGGAAGAAAGGTTCTCAAGTGGCAGCCTCGTACCGGTAGGCGTAGTGTAGGGCGACCCCCCACTAGATGGAGTGACGACCTGGTAAGATATGCAGGAAGTGGATGGATGCAGGTGGCTCAGGACCGTGCTTTGTGGCATTACTTCGGGGAGGCCTATGTGCAGCAGTGGACTTGTGAAGGGCTGCAATGATGATGATGATGATGATGATTGGTGGCTTTTTTTTTGTGTTGTTTTTTTATTTTTGTGTGTTTTTAGGTGGGAAAGGGGGGGGGGGCGGGTGTGTTTTTTTGGGGTGTTTTTTTTTGGAAGTGAAGGCTAGCTATATCAACTTGATCCAAGTCCGTTATTGTGCTTAAAGAGTTAACTATAACCATGTTTGTAATAAAAATAAATAAAGTAGTTTGCCGATTTAGTATCATTAGGTGTATGAGAACATAAGTGATTCTGTATAGATGGTTTAGCTAAAAAGTTTGTTTTTAGTGTAATGCTGTAATGGTATTTATTCGAGAAAGGTCTGAAATAAACAGAAACGACCAATCTTAGAGTTAATGTTTGTAAATAAGAATCAACATGTAAATGGGTGATGATTGCGTATGAGCTGCGTGTGAGTGTATTGTATGATTCAAAAGTGTATTATATATGAGTGTGAGTGAAGATACCGTAGGAGATTTTTTGTCAGTAATTGAAGTACAAATTTTAATAGACAGAATTGCTACATAGATGTTAATATCTACAGTTAGGACAATATACTGTTACGAGCTTAGGGTTCGTGACAATAAAAATTGATTCAATACTTCCCCGATCGCGTATTGCAGCGCCTTTATATAGGGCTCTTCCACGAAAACATCCAGAATATTCCAGAATATTCAAGTAAATACGCGCGCCAACCGACCAAGCGCAGAAAATTCGAGTGTGCGGCTTCCAGAAAGCTTAATTCTTCTGTTCGATACTAGATGGCGCTGTTGGTTGAAAGACTAGTCATGTATTTTCTGGAAAGCTCTCCTCGCTGCTACCCGACACCAGATGGCGCTAGTGCCAGATGTCAACTTAGCCGCGCAACAATACTTAAATAATACAATGTAACTAATCACTATTAATATTAATGAAGATGACAAGAATTGGATGAAACCATTGAGTCATGCTTGTGAACTTTCTTGTAGAAGATGGTGTATTTGTGACTCGTTTCTTATTACAATAACTGGAGAATTCTCGTCCTTTCTCACATAGACTCGACCAAAGGACGTCCAGCAGAACTTAAAGGTCTTTGATTTTGCAAGATCTCTGGCTAGAAAAAATAGTCGAGCGTTTTTGGGAGTTAGTTGTTCGGAAACAAAAATGGGTGTATCTTCTTTTGTCGTAAATCTGAGGTGTTTTGCTTAATGTTTATATTTATTTTTAATATTAAATGATTTCGACATCCTCAGTACATCGCATTTCAAAATAGTGGATCCCAGTTCTACTACAACGGGAAGGTTTTTAGTATTTTAAATTTTTCGGGTTTTTGTACGCACTCTGTAGATATCCTTTATATCGGATTTATCGATCTTACAGTCGATGTGTTTGGACAAATGTTGAACCATGCTTATTAGATCTTCCTTTGTTTCACTGTTTATAATTGGTACATTTTTTATCTCAATTTTAGTTTTCCGATTGTCTCTTAGTATGTCTTCAACTTTCTCCTCTAGTAAGGTTATGTATTCTCTGTCTTTTTTGACTTGGATCTCCATTTGATCTATTTTCTTTTTGTACTCCTCGTTTTGGCTAGTCAAGATAGCGATAGAATTATCAATATTATAATTCGATTGCTGAATTTCCTTAATTTTAATGGCGATATTTCTTGAAGTTCTAATTGTTGCGTAGTTATAAACGATGAAAACAAGTTTTTTTATTTCCTCTTTAAAATCATTCAGTTCAGAAGTTATGTCATCTTCCCTTCCTCGTTTAAATCTCTGTGTGATATGGCTCGATTGCGTGCTATCAGTAAGCTCGTTTATGCGTGAATCCGAAACGGTTTTATCCATATATGGAGTGTAGAAGTAAGGAGTAACAACTCCCATAGTACAGGGTGGGCCAGAAATAATTGCGAATTTGAAAAAATCATTAAAAAATTAAGTACAATTCACATACAAATTTTTATTTCTACAAAAATTTACATCTGGGAAATTCATTCATCAAAAATAACATCATCCAGATGTGCACCATCGCGCTGCAAACATTCTTCGAATCTGAACCTCAAATTGGTAAAAACTCGCTGGCACATTGCACGGGGAATATCTGCCATTTCTTTCCGGATATTGGTCTTCAACTGGTCAATTGTGGCTGGGTTATTGAAGTAGACTCTACTTTTTAGGTATCCCCATAAAAAAAGTCCAGTGGTGTAAGATCCGGACTTCTAGGAGGCCATTCAATGTCACCTCGGCGCGATATCAGTTTCTCACCAAACATCTCGTTTACGACCGTCAAAGAGGCATTAGCTGTGTGGCATGTCGCGCCATCTTGTTGAAACCATGTCGCACGATTATAGGCTTCAAATTGTTGCAGTTGTGGAAAGAAAAAATCCCTTAACATGTAATCCCTTAACTATGTATCGGTCAGAATTTACAGTGACAGATTGGCCTTGTCGATTTGCGAAGAAGTGGGGTCCGATAATTCCGTGCGCTGACATGGCCGCCCAAACGGTTACTTTCGGCGAATGTAGAGGCTTTTGATGTTTTGCACGTGGGTTCTCTGCAGCCCAGTAACGGCAATTCTGTTTATTCACCTGCCCATTTATGTGAAAATGGGCTTCGTCGGAGAACAGAATATTGTTGAAACTCCGAAAGCGTTCCAGCATCGTTTCAACAAAAGCTCTCCTTAAAATTGGATCATTTGGCTGTAATTCCTGCACAAATTGAATTTTATACGGATGCAATTTCAGATCTTTCAACAAAATGCGACGCAAAGATGTTCTGGACACCACAAGTTCGGCTGAACGCTTTCGAGTCGATAGAACAGGATTACGTTGAACTGAAGCTCTAACTTTTTCAATTGTGTCTTTCGTTCTTGTTGACCTTGGGCGTCCCGCAGGCTTCTGTTTGAGAGTTGAACCAGTACCTTCGAAATTTCTGACCCACGATCGAATCACGCTTTCCTTCGGACACTGATTTAGGTCATGTAATCCAAACTCACGTCGAAATAAACGCCGAACAATAGCGTACGAATCGTGATTTTTATAATAATGTTTAACGCAGAAAGCACGTTGCGCTCCCGTGAAGTGATCCATCGCGACTAAATTTCCGAGAACCGAGCTACTTAACCCCACCACCCGCGCAGTCCCCTCTCTAAAGCTTCAAACGCAAGAGTGTTTTTAAAATCGTACTCCATTCTGGCCCACCCGTTAGAATAGTTGATAAAGTGTCCATTTGTAAGCAGTAAATAACAGTTCATAAACTCTCCACAACAGCGCTGGAGTAGCTACAGGGATGAAATGAACTTAGCAGTTGTCGACGGTTTGAAGTGTGCTGCTAAACTGCTCAGTAGCTCCAAAATCTAAAATAATTTTATTCAGTAAATATAACCTCGAAAAAGTCGTCTATCCCACTAATATTTTTTGATGCGTTCTTTAAAATTTACCCCGTAGCTATAGTGTCGCCACCTTTATTTAAAGGTTTTTATGGACACTTTTTAATACACAGTCTGTATTCCTTACTTCTACACTCCATATTATAAGGCTGGATTTAGTGCTATGCGGACGGTCCGTACGGACGACCGTCATCCGGAGCTATCGTATAGAAATCAATTACTGTGTTTAGGTGAACACGGCCTGCGGAGCGTCCGTCAATGTAATAGCCGAGGAAAATAATCCGTCGAGCGCGTCCGTGCTCCCGACGTCCGCATCAGGACGCGCTAGGTATCTATCTATACGAAAGCGTTTAGTGCTGTGCGGACGCAGACAGATCCGGACGTGTGTGCGAGACTGTCAACAACGACAATGTCTGCGGAGAATCTAGACACGGAACGTGTCATAACAGAAGTCCGAGATCAACCATCATTATGGGATCTTAGCGATATTTTGTATAAAGATCGTGATGCGAAACTACAAGAGTGGACAGAAGTATGCCGAGCATTGTTTCCTGGTTATGATGATTTACCAGATAAGGAGAAACAGGAAATTGGTAAATACATACATTAGTATAATAGGTAAGTACAATCCGCGAGGCCTGCTTGCATTTGCGTGAGTGCACATACCTACATAGTGTAGGTGTGATGTCGCCCTAGAGTGCGACACGTCCTTTGCTTGGTTTGAACCGGTTTATACTGCTTTTTTGCGATCGGCCCAAGGCGCACTCACACAAATGCGAAGCTCAGAGACCTCGCGGACTGTACATAGATATCATTGAGTAAAACACGCTCATTATTTATATCATTTAACTACTTTATTGAAAATTTTCGTATAGGTAATAAATTAAATATTTTGCCAAGGCACTGCACCTGCGGCAGATACAAAATAACTGACGAATCTTTCTCTCAATGCGTCGCCCGATCTGTCAATTATGTTATCATGGATGTTAAAGTCTTGTAATCCTTCAATAATAAATGTATCCTCTTGTCTATAGCCATCTCGCTCTCTAACGTAGTTGTGTAAAATACAACAAGTTTTTACGAGTGTAATCGTGTTCGGCAGAGACGTATTTACTCGTATTGGTCTATGAAATATTTTAAATTTATTTGTCATTATTCCGAACGTAGATTCAATATACCTTCTTGCACGACTTAACCTATAGTTAAAGATTTTTTTTGTGAGTCGTATTACTTCGTGCGTAAGGTTTTAATATTTTGTTCGATTGCACCATCACCAATTATCACGTGCTGTAAAGGTACAGATGTATTCGGCAACGATTTAGCAGGAGGTAAATTTAATGTCCCGTTTTGCAATTTATTATACAAAGTACTTTCTTTAAAAATTGTTGAATCCGAGTCTGTTCCACAAGAACCTATATTTACATATGTAAAACGATAGTCTGCATCGCACATTGCCAATAGAACGACAGAGTAATGTTTTTTGTAATTGGCAAATAAACTGCCACTGTTCTCGGGGCAAGTAATTCTCACATGTTTCCCATCGATTGCTCCAACGCAATTAGGAAAGTTAGCGTTCTGTTGAAATCCTGATGAGATTTTTAGCCATTCTTCCTGTGAACTAGGTATCGAAATACATTCTTGAAGCACTTGGCAAATGGTTGTGCATACATCTTTGACGATGAGAGAGATTGTTGCAGTGCCCATCTGATAACTGAAGTAAAGACCTGAGTATGTTTGTCCAGTCTTGAGGTACCTGAAAGGAATAACAACAAAATTAATTATTTGTTAATTATTTCAGTAAAACAAGTACAACTACGGTGGATAACTGCGCGTGACGCATATATGAAATGTAAAAATGCATTAAAAATGTGAAGTCTGGATCAGGTGGTGGGAAGAAATCCAAATACGTGTATTTTGAACACATGCAGTTTCTGGACAAAAAACATATTGTTGATACTATTGAATCTATTAATGAATGTCAAAATACGAATGAAACATGCAGCATTCCACCACCTAGCCACTCTACGCACAATCAATCTCAGTTGCCTTCAACAAGTCGAGATGCTGGTAATTCTTCAGGAATTACGCTTACCCCACCCACCATCTCTGCACCAAACCAAACTACATTTCAGAAAAACCCAAAAAAACGTAAAAACCGCGAGGATTCTGCTTTTGATAAAGAAATGTTGAATTTTTTTAAAGAAAACAGTGAGATGATGAAAAACGACGATATGGGATTCTTCTCTTCCCTATTACCTATTACAAAATCATTCAACATTCGCCAAAAACTATTATTTCGGTCAGAAATACTTCGCAAAGCTATGGAAATTTCAAATAGCACTGCAGGTTTTCCCTCAATGTGTGATCATAATTATTTTTCCACTCGCCCTATATCTACCTCTGGCCCTGGATCTTCTACATCTACCTGTACATCATACACGATCACATCACCAGGCTCTCAAAAAGATGTAACGTTGTACACAGTTGATGAAACTGAAGCTGCAAATGCAAATGTAGCCTCTCAAATACAGCTGTCTGAGCAGCAGTATTCATCCCAAGCATTGGGTAATTTTCCGCAAGAACCTATCGCTTCTCAAATGCAACTATCTGAACAGCAGTATTCATCGCAAACATTGGGTAATTTTCCGTAAGAACTATCGCTTCTTGCCTGAACAGCAGTTTCATCGCAAGCAGTAATTAATATGTCTGATTTTATTAAATTTAAGTGATTTTTCAGTAAGCACCTACCACCAATATAATTATAGACACCAAATAGAAGACCAATACAAATTAAATATTAAATTGAGTTTCTGGAGTATTCCTTTTACACCCTGTATTTAATTAAGAACAATAAAGGGCACACTTACCTTAATGTTACGGCCAATCTTTCACTTGGAGATATTGGAACTCTAAACATATTATTATGTTTGATATAATCTTGAATTTTTGTTTATTGACATTCCAAAATAATCGAAAAAATTTTCGTCAAAATTTCGTAATTTCGAATACAATTTATGAAATTCTCCATCTAGTAATCGATCTGCAATTATAGGGTGAACATGGTATCTTCTTTTATTCTTCTTTTTAAATAACTACCTTAGGTAGTAGGCAGCAACTACGTGTTTAATGGTTACCGTCGTTGCTCCGTAGAGCACTAAACGGTCGACCGACCGAATGCTCCGTATACTGACGGTCGGCGTACGGTCGTCCGTACGGACCGTCCGCATAGCACTAAATCCAGCCTTAGGATTATCTGTCTACGTTATGGAGTGTAGAAATAAGGAATACAGACTGTGTATTAAAAAGTGTCCATAGAAAACCGTTAAATAAGGGTGGCGCCACTATAGCTACGGGTTAAATTTTAAAGAACGTGACGTACTAATGATAAGAGTGGCATCGAGTGAGAAAGGACGATAACGTAGTTCTAGGTTATACAATAATCCTTATGACTTTTAAACATATTTAGATAAAAATTTTAATTGTTCTAAGAACTGAAATGAACAAGATTCACTCATTTTAAGCTTTTGTGAGCTTTTTTCTCACTTAAACCAACTTGTTAAACCAAGTTGTTTAGCAAAGTGTAGTTTGCTAAACAAAAAAACTGGCACGGAGAAAGGGACAAACAATCACACCGCTCTGTCTCATTTCTATGCAAGACGTATGCATAAATCTATCTTTTTCGTGTGCGAATGCGAAAGAAGGCATCAATTTGCGTAGACAGAGAAACCTATAGACATTAAAAACTTTAAAAATGGTTAGATGTAGTTGTCTTAGGATGTAAAAGTGATAGCGAACGTAAACTCACCGGTATATCATTTCACTAGTAAGTATAATACATTTTATCTGGTTTACGCCTAAAATTCAATAATTATTTTAAATTTCGTTACAGAACTATATGAATATACGTTTAAATTTCATCCAAATATGTTTAAAAGTTTGCCGTGTAGTGGCGGTTGAGAATATCCACTACCCCATATCTTCCTGTGGGTGTCGTAAGAGGCGACAGAGGGAGACAGGCAGGAGATGGGCAGCAGCATCTTCCTGATAACAACTGTGATATAATAAAAAACTGCGTTTGCCAAGTTGCCAGACGGCCCCCAGTTCCCGGCGGCCCTGCTATTCCTGGCTACGGTGGCGACCATGGTAACGGCGGGGCAATGGGTGCTAAAAATCTCCGGTGGAGGTTCGGTTGCCACCTACGACGATTCGACCTGGCAACATATGACGCACGCACCCTGAGGACTGACGAGAAGATACTGAAGCTGGAAGAAGAGGTAGACAAGTTGCGCTGGCATATTATTGGATTATCCGAGGTCCGAAGAGAGGAGGAAGACACTCAATTACTATGGAACCAAAAGCCGTGCTTTGCCCTGAAGTTGTTGGGAGCGAGTACCCCCAGTACGGTAATACGGTATGCAAGTTCACTTCACATTTCAATGATTATGTTTGTTTTTGTTGTGTCTGTTAAAAATTTATGCATTTTCAAAGTTTTTTTAGTGAAAATGGGAGGATAATAGTGTTCCTTGTGATGAATATAAGTGTGTTAAAATAATCGGCGAGGAAAAGGTAAAATCTGTAAAAACGAAATTTTAATTCTATAAACATTTCTTCATACTTTAATAGGTACAGGGCTCATAAGTATTAAAGTTTAATTATTCTAGGCGTATTCAAAGGTTTAATAACTCAATATTTATATTATCATATGAGTTAAAGATACCTAGGTATAAGTTTAATTTTATAGCAAATAATTGTTACAATCCTTTTTTTAACGTGAAGCCCAAATTTTTAATGTAATAAATTAAATGATTGTATTGAGGTTTTTAAAGAATATTTACTTTAGTCCTTAAAGCTTTATCTTCTCAGTTCAGTATATAAAATTTGTAATAGCGCCATCTACTAAATTCTATAGGTGAAGTCATTTTATTGAACGAAAATAAATTGATTCTCACGGTGGTACGTAAAGATTACGCTAGATGGCAGAAACACGCTATCTAAGCTAATTTAATAATTTACTAATTATATTACCTTAAGAGTTAAAAATATCATTTTGTACGGTTTATTAAAATTGAAAATGAATAGTTATGTAATAAATATACACTATTTTATGGTAAAAAATTTGCAAAGCTTTATCTTCTCATTATACCATATCTAATTCCTGTCGTAATCGGTTTAAAATAATTTCGATGTTTTACATCTGCCAGGCGTCCCTTTTTTAATTTTGTACATAGTTTGTTTGTACTTTGTTCATGCTTTTCTTTTGCTCATGTATTGTATTGTATGTAAGTATCTTTTTCTTTCGCTCAAGCAAACCCAAACGGCTCTTTTTAAAGTCACCGAAGGTATGCAATTGCATATGTCATACAATCTATTTAGCAGGCATACTGCCTTCTGTGCTTTGTTAAACACTATCCTTGACAGCACTGAATATGAAACTAAGGAATGGAGACAGATCAAGATTGGTGTATTTTTATAAAACTGCTATAAACAACAAAACCATATCTTAGGCTTGCCCTAGTTTGAAGCCCTAGCTTTGCCACTGTTAGCAGGGTTCGCACGTCCTCGACTTTTTTTTAGAATAAGTGTGACACTGACACACAGGTAAGTGGATGCTGAGGCCTATAGACATCTATCTTTCCTTGATTAGGAATTAAAATGCAGATGCCAGGTCCGTTGTCACCCCTGAGGACTAAGATGGAATTAACGCTTTGTTTCCAAAAAAAATGGTTTCCTGTTCACTACACTCACCCTATTAAATAGCAGCATTATTCTGTTTTTTTAACCGGTATTCTGTGAGAGTGTTCCCAGGGCGAGCCGACCTATTCGTATTGCAGCCATTATACTGTACTCTAGACCGATAATCCGTCATGGCGGCCGGTTCCAACAGAGACTATCTTCGCACAACTTCGATAACATTCTAGAGTCCGAATACACCATCGCATAAATACAGGTTCAGGGTACTATCTATTCCCACACTCTCATAATCCGAAGGGAGGACAATCCAACACGACTGTATAGAGAACAGTCTCATGACCAACGACTACGTGCTTTCCGAGGCACGGGGGATGAAACACCGCCAACTTCTTAACCCCAGACTGCTACTAATGAGAACTCTTTAACAATAAAACCTGATGACGGATTTCGCCTGACCGGGGATTCGAACCCGAGAGCTCAGCCGTCACTAAACAAATTCCCTACGTGTCTCAAGCCACAGTCCACCACGTTCTACAGAAACACAAGGATGTCTTCCAACACACTACAAGTGGAGTAGGGGCTAACATAGAGACTCGGTGGTCTTTCGTCGCGTTCGCACAGAGTACAAAGTAATCACTCGACTACTAAATAATCAAAATTAAACCACTGCCATTTTTGAAGACCTTTTCGAGACAATCTTTCATTTATGTGGTGGAATTGTTCGGTGGTCGAAACAAATAACAGAAAACTGCCGATTATGTGATCAAAGCATTAGTTTTGCAATCAAAAATATAATTTCTATACGTAATCATTACGCGGAATAAAACTGTTTTAAGATTTTAGTGTTTACTAGTGGCAATAAAGATTTTGCTACGTATTTTTGTTTTATTTTATTTTGAAGTAATATATAAACTTACTTTTATTAAATCTCGTTTATAATACAACACCCCATATTATCCCGTGGGTGCCGTAAGAGGCGACTGAAATAAACACCGGAAAGAGTAAAACAAACAAATTGACGATGGAAAACAGCAAAGATTTTGATATGGTAATCAATGATTATGTTCTATTCTTAGGAAGGTAATCTATGATTACCATATCAAAATCTTTGCTTGTCCAGCTGTTTACTGATATTGGCTGACACAGAAATTATTTTTTCATAATCACGGCCAGTTCTTAATAATTGCATTATATATATTTAAATATTAATAATTTTTACGGATTATATCTCGTATATTAACTTTTTTATATTCCCGATGTTTCGAGCACTTCAGCACCATGGTCACGGGGAGGACTGCGATGTTCAACTGAACTGTACTGCAATCTGTACACCTGTTATTGTGGCTTCGATATTCATGCAGTGCGGAGCGGCGCTAATAATAACTTTATATTAAATTAGCACATATGTAAAATAAACTAAAATTAAAAAAAATTGTACTCGATTAACAATATCCCGCACATGCGCGGATACAGAGTAGGGCATATTTTTTGTTTGGTATAGCTTCTCTATAGTTCGTGCCAAATCGATTGAGAAAAACGGACGATGGCCTCAGATATGAGCCGAGTGTCAAAAGGCGCACCTTACAAAATCTCAATTATGATGTGATAACAATATTTAAATATTGATATTATTCACACTTCTAGGTCAGCACATACGTTATGTTTTTTGTTTCTTAAATAATATTGTCTGTGGTTCCCATAAACATCATAAAATCTTGCGGTACATCGCGAAAAATGTGTTATATTTTATATTTCAATTTATGGCAAGTAACGCAGCAATTCATTTAATAACAGTTTCATATTAAAAAATATATTTGAAGCAATATAATCACCATATTGAGCTTTTGCATATTCATCCCTTTAAAATAAACAAAACGCGCGTTACGTCAGTTCGTTCTAAAAGAAACGTGACAATGGCAATAAAAATAAAGTTCTTATATAATATTGAAAATAAAGTTTTATCTTTTGAATAAGTTCGTACTTATTCGGTGTCGTTATCACTAGAATCTTTATATGTGTTATAAATTAATCCTTTTTGTTGTTAAATGAATAAAGTAATTCATAACAATAGATGATTTTTCTTCTACAACGATCTTTTACGTAACTTTTTAATAATAGTTAATAAATATATATTATATCAATCATTATAAAAAATAATAAAAAAATCATTATAAATAAAGAAAGTACTACATATAAAAAGTGCCTTTATATTGAAGGTTTGTAGTTTGAAGGTTTGGTTAAACGACCGAAAGGTCAATGTCCGTTTTTCTCAATCGATTTGGCACGAAAAATAACGGAACCGATTTGGAGGGCTTGTGTGCTTATTACACATACAAGTATGCGTAACTAGTATTGTTTAACAAGCGCGCTGCGAGTGATACCATCTCTTAAATATTTGCCATTGGATTTAGTTCTCATTTGACACTTAAATTTTTTTTATATTTAACGTATAAATACAAAAAATGAAATATAAATTTTATAAATTAAATTAAATAAAATATAAATTTTATACTTATTTTTATTTGCAAAATTATAAAATAGTAATGATTGACATGACAATTGTACTTTTAATTTATTTTATTTTATTTGATATTAATAACGTATATTATATTGACTTACTTACTTATTATTTTTATATTTAAGTAAGACAATATAATATACATAATTAATTAATATATTATGTTAAATAATTTTCAAATGTCAGATGTGGTAAACATGTGGACTATATGTACAACTATTTGTCATTTTTAATGTACTATATTAATCAAATAATATTAATAATTTTTTTGGTACTTATATAGTTAATTTTAGTATTTATGTAGTTTTAGTTAGTTTTGTAAGTATATAAATGAAAATGATAGATATACATAATTATCAATAAAATAAAATAGATAAATAATATACAAAAATAAATAAAATCCAATGAGATGTGAGACTTCGGCAGGGAAGACCACAAGAACGGTCGAGGCTTTCATTACATACATATTTAATCAGATGAATGTTAAACAAAATAGGTTAAATAAAGTAATTATTTTGTAAATTACTTTTATTTATTTTAGTAACGACATAAATACAATGACAAAATATAAAAATATTAGAAAGAACTAACAAAAATACTCTTTAGTGCATGACGTCATGGGTTTCATTTATTTTGTGTAGGCAAGTTATTATTTACTGATCAAATAAATAAAGTAATTTTTAAAATAATAATGTTCTCCTGATCGAACGATGATGTAATAATATTTGTCTCCCATAGTTTCGCCAAAACTCCCTAGTAATAAACTGATAACACCAGCTAATCATACTACCTAACCTACAAAGTAACTAATTAAAAACTCGTGTTTTCATAAAATAATAATGGTTAATTAACAAAACTTATTGATAAAAAGTGATCTTGTTGTTATTATACGGTTTTCTCACATAATTGCGTTACAATTTAACAGCACCAACCGACATAGTTAATTATTTTTCGTGAGCACGTTATCCCTAAGTGATTCAAACTACTGATGTAGGTGATTTGATTGAGCAGGTAGATGAGTTTGTATATTTGGGTAGCGTATTTAGCAGGGATGGGAGATGTGATAAGGATATAGAACGACGAATGAATGCAGGCAATAGAGTAAATGGGGCCCTACACTCTATTGTGAAGAGTCAAAATGTGTCAAAAAAGGCACGTATGGCAATTCACAATGCTGTGTTGATCCCTACTTTAACGTATGGTAGTGAAAGTTGGGTGTGGCAGAAGAAGCACGAGCGTAGAATGAACGCAGTAGAAATGCGGTCGTTAAGGAGTATGTTAGGGCTGAAACTGAATGACAGGGTGAGAAATTGTGTGATAAGAGAAGAGTGTGGTTTGCAAGATGATGTTGTGACCAGGATTAAGAAAGGAATGCTTCTGTGGTTTTGTTATGTGGAAAGAATGAATGAGGAAAGAATGACAAAGACAATGTATGTTGCAGAAGTGAATGGCAGAGTCCGAAAGGGACGTCCTAGGCGAAAATTTATCGACCAAATTGGCGATTTATTGAAAACGGGCCAAATTAGGAGCACCCTTAACCGACGAGCATGTATGCGTAGGTATATGTATGTAAAGGAGGAGAGACAGGTGTGTCAGGATCGTGCCAAATGGAAGTCTGTAGTCTCTGCCTACCCCTCTGGGTGACAGGCGTGAGTGTTTATGTTTATGTTATGTTATGATGTAGGTGAGAAGCGAGTCTACCAATTTTAGTAGACTTTATTTGGGCCGTTGGGTACAGACAATGTGGCATCTAGACAGGTATATAATCAAAGTACGTAGTACATATAACTCAATGGTGTCTGCACTTTTTTCTATTGGGTTAACGAATGCCCGACAATGTCTCAGCGTAAGTACCATTTTTTTAATAGAATGGGGGTAACATACAAGCACATAGTCCACCTAATTGAAAGTGGCCCATAAATATCTACGTTTATCTTCGATTAAGTATCAAAATGCAGATGCGTTATCATCCCTCAGGACTACGATGGAATGCCTTGTTTCCAGTAAAAAGGGTATCCGATTCTCTACACTCACCATACGAAACACCGCAGCTATTTTAAGCTATTATTCTGTGAGAGCGTGGTCTTTCCCCGGTCAAGCCGACCCATTCGTGCTACAAACATTATATAGCTGCAGCATGGCTCTATCACGTAAAGAACATCTAAAAGTTCTTAAATATATATTACTTTTGAGGTTTTTTTTTTTCAAAATGGTAAACTTAATTTCATGGTTTCGTCAGATGTTCCATATGAGATTCTACATAAATTTATTGTTTATGAGTAATAAATGATATAAATATTTCTGTGATCAAAAAATCTTAAAATTCTATCATACATGTACATAGTAATGTACTAAACGTTTTGTCACCAGTAATGTATGTCACACAAGTAGTAGTAGCGCCAGCATGTGATCAGACCACGGTGGCATTATACTGTGTACTATGAATGTATCCGTATTCTGGTGTTGAAATTAGAATTTGCCTAATGAATTACCTGATGATGTTATGAAAGCCACAAGGCTACGCTCATATAATACTGAGGGTAGTATTTTGTAAGTGTTGCACTGTTTCAATTAACACGTCTTTAACTTTAAAATTATAGACAAGCAAAGAAAAACATTACAATTTTGCCCGATATTTAGTCGACTTTTTGTTGGGCCATCAACTCGTTAATAGTGTGGTTGTATTCTGCAGTTGCTTCCTCTAGATCTCTGTCGCTATTCGTCGCGTCGCTCTCGGTCACTTGAGCCTGTCCACAGTCACGGTCTTGTCGCATTTTCAATCTGAGTTCTCGCATACGCGCTTCTAGAATACGTTCACGTTTGTTCTCTCGTTCTAGTATCTGGAATGGTCAATTCATTACTTATGTTTTATTATCGACTAATAATTTTGTTTAATTTTTATTTAGAGCAATGCATTCCTATAAGCTACGATGGTTAAGGATAAGAGTAATAAATTATTAAGTACTTAAAATTTATAATTGAAATTCTAATTTACTACTTTAAAATGCTGCAAGTTTGCCTACAAATTCCAAATTTGCCTATACTGTTTCAATTATGATATTTCGCGTTTGCTTAGTTGTTTCTTATTTTTTACCATTTTTCTTATTTTTTTTCAAATTTCTATCATTAGAGAAACATATTTTAAATTTTTTATAATGTTAATTCCAAAGTTACTCTGCCAGTTGGGCGACAAAATCCGGTGTAAGTGGATGGATTTTTTTTGTGTCCTGCAACTTTTTTACGTGTTTCTCTTAACATTTAATGTATTTGTTATCTGTTTTATTTTTGCTAAGACTACGATTATACTGCAGTTATATTATTATGCCGTGTACACTTTTTTGGATTGTAGTTTATATCAACACAAATATACTTTTAATTTTAGACCTTTATATACCTATTGTCTCTTTGTGTACCTTATTCAATAAAATAAAAAAATAACTATGAAAATTTTGATTATTACGAGTACATTGCATCATGTTTACAAGAACAAGAAAACATAATTCGGATTCGGATTGAGTGATATTGATTTTTATGTTGAAAATTTTCTTAGACTTCAAGGAAACAGATAGATAAAAGGTAAATTTGCTTCGAAAAAAGTGTTTAAATTGTAAACACCTTTTAGGGAAGGTTTTATCAATAAATAATCAAATTGAAAGTGAAATTTTCACGAAAAATATAAAATTCTAAGTGTGCTAAGGCAATGGTATTCACCTACCCCAACATTGAAAGACATATATGATGTAGGTACATGATTTAAAAGATGTTACTTCAGTTTTACCTGATCCCCAAATTTGCCGACGAGGACATGTCATATTTAATTTAGATTTTGTAAAATATAACATACAATAATTAAAAATATTATAACGTTCCAAACTAATGAAACAATTAGACAAATATTTTCAACATTTTTACTATGAGAGTGGTTAAGCTGATTAATTCAGTAAAACCATTTTAAAAACAATTTTATAAGTACCTTTGTGAAGATTAAATAAAAATGATTTTTTTATTTCGCTATCGCATTTTGAATAGTAATTTTGTTAATTTGGTTGAAATTATTTTATAGATTTTTTGTGTTTTGACTACTTTCTATGAATGTTTCAAAATATTTATTTTTATAATAACGTACCCGTATTTCGTAGTTTAAGTAAACTTACAAATTTAATACCTACTTATTAAAACAGTATTTTGGGTAACTGAAGTTTTAGATTTTCGGAGAGAATTTTTAAAAAAAATATTAGGTGTTTCTAGAAATAGGAAGACACGATTTTGTATAAACGGGTAGCTGTTAAATAGGTTGTTTTTAAATATTTTATAGATGTTTCTTTATGCCAAAGCTTTAAATATTGTTTCTAATTTTTTTTATAGGTGAGGGGGCAAACGAGCATACTGTTCACCTGGTGTTAAGTGACTACCGCCGCCCATGAACAACTGCAACACCAGGGGAATTGCAGGTGCGTTGCCGGCCTTTTAGAAAGGAGTTAGCTCTTTTCTTGAAGGTCCCTAAGTATTGGTCCGGAAAAATCGCTGGTGTAAAGCTATTCCACAGAGAGGTCGTCCACGGATGAAAACTCCTAGAGAAACAAACAGTGGTGGACCGCCAAGCATCCAGATGCTGTAGATGGTATCGGGAGGTTTGCCGCGTAGTGCGTTCATGAGATTTGGCGGCTGGGATTAATCCGAACAATCTTCAGAGCACTCCCTGTGGTATATGCGAAAGAAAATGCAAAGAGATGCAACATCTTTTCGCAGGGCCAGTGAATCGACCCGATTGGAAAGCACTCGATCGTCGACGATTCGAGCCGCTCTGCGCGGCATGCGGTCAAGTGGAAAGAGCTGGCACTGGGAGTCCCAGCCCAGAAATGGGAACAGTATTCCAAGTGAGGCTGAACCTGCGCCTGCAGGCGATGTGCCGGCATGAAATACTGTCTCGCTCTGCTGAGCACGCCAAGCTTTTTAGAGGCCAATTTGGCCTTCTCTTCCAGTCTGTGTGTCTCTTCAAGTCACAGTGAGCTTGGCAACGCATCTGCAATCCCACTGGTGTTACAGCTGTTCATGGGAGACGGTAATCACTTACCATCAGGTGAGCCGTATGCTCGTTTACCCCTCTCCTATAAAAAAAGTGACCACGAAACTGCACGTCACTCGATATGTCGACGCCGAGGATTCCGATACTGGTTGAGGCAACAAGGGGAGTACCTTGAAACAGGAGATACGACAAAGTGGTTCTTTTTAGCGGTTGACGCGCAAACTTGTGTCTTCTGAGGGTTAAACTGGACTAGATTTAGTCGCCCCCAATCCGAGACTTTGTTCAGCAAAGACTCGACTTCAGACACAAGTTTGTCCCGGTACTCGCAGACGTTATCCTGAGAAATATTGGCACGACCGGTGTACAGAGCATCACCAGTGCTGTCATCCGCATAGCAATAAATGTTACCGGTTTGCAACATATCATTAATATGCAGAAGAAACAGCGTTGGTGATAGCACGCAGCCTTGTAGAACGCCAGTATTAATAGACTTGTAATCAGAGCATGCACCGTCTACAACAACCTTAATGCTCCGATCTGCAAGAAAGCTGGTGATCCAATTGCACAATTTCGCGGAAAGCCCTTAGGAAGGGAGCTTCGAAAGAAGCGCTTTGTGCCAACCCGATCGAAGGCCTTCGCAATGTCCAAACAAATGCCCAATGCCTCCCCCTTAGACTCTACTGCCTCAACCCATCGATGAGTCAGGTAGACTAGAAGATCAACAGCTCATCGACCCCGACGAAAACCGTATTGGCGGTCAGTAATCAGCTGGTAATCCTCAAGGTACCGCATGAACTGGCAGTTTATAATGCATTCCATTATTTTGGAGAACAAGGATGTGATGGCGATAGGCCTGTAGTTTGAGATCTGAGCGGTCGCCTTTTATTGTGTTCTTGTAAATCTCTAATTTGTGTTCTTGAAATTTTAATGATGTTTTTAGTTTTCGAGAAGAAGACTTAATCAATATTATAGACTGTTACCCACATAATTTCGAATATCTTGTTTTTTTTAATTTTATTTGAGGATAGTTTCGTTATAGTTTTAATACTAAAACAGTACTCAAACTCACAAACCAACTTAAATATTTTCTGGTAAAGCCATGTTATAAAATTGTTTGTTTGTTTGTTATATTAATAATTATGAGACATTAGTGCTAAAAACATTTGTTATTTTTACTCGTAAGAAGCAATGTGTTTAGTTTTTTTTAAAAGTGAATAAAAATATAAAAAAATAATCTGTATTTTTTGTACAACCCTAAAGTCAACGAGCTTATTATTTATTGAGATATCCTTCTTGGCAATGATGCGTCTTTTACATACAACTTTGCCTACGACTTTGAGTGCATGTAATTCAAGACAATTGCATAAATTAAAAAGATTTTGATCTACCTAGCAAGGCATAAGGCCTGTTTTTCATATAAAACGCATTAGACGCTACAGTGATAAATTGGTTCAGAGATACGAACCAAAAACATCGAAATCCGTGCAAAGTTGCAACATTGCACGGTACTGCTTTGGTAGCCCAAAAAACATGTTAGGAAATTTGACAAATGTATGTCTTGACGGTAAAGTAACGTAAACACACATGTGACAATTAGCCACATTATGTAAAATTTGTTGATATCGATTGAATTTTGTCACTGTGTTGTGCATTTTCTTCTGCAAGAGGAAATGAAACTGCAGTATTCAATAAATATGACAGCGTACAGCGTGACAACTGAAGGGTAAAAAGATCTTGATGAAGATTTTCCTTCTGGGCCACGTATACGTGCTGTTTTCGAGGGTCGTAAACACTCGCACATCAAAGCGTTTTATCGCGATGAACTTCGCTTGTGCGGCCACGCTTCAGGTTCAGGCGGCCCACAGACATCGTGCGTAACTTTGCATAGTGGATAAGATGTATAGAGGTGTATGGCACTGGGGAAGAATTTTGAGATATAACGATCTCGAAATTCTTCCCCATTGCATTGGAAGACGTTTTCAAGCTAAACATAAAAATAAATTTACAGTTAGTTGTGTCAGTGGTGCAGATGATTTCAAATAAACTGGAATACAGGAGGCAAACAAAGTGTAGCTTTAATAATCATTTGAAACAAATTATCTTACGTGTGTAAGAAGTTGTTTGTCATTTTTGTCGGCCGTTCCAAGATTTTGTGATAGTTCTGCTAAATAAATAGTTCCCTTGCTGCTACCACATGCTACTAGTAGCCCCTGAGGGAAAATAAGTTTAAATTTATAATATATTATAGCGTAAACAACAATTAAACATACTGTGGGACCTAGGTTCGACAACACATTGTTGATTGTCGGGTGGTTTTGTCTTCATGTCTACTGAGACATAAGGTGACTGACTGTACCTGTGATCTAGTATAATATAAAAAATCGAAGAATCAAAGCATGAAGTCATAATTGACGAATAAAATCGACGAAAAGTATATTTATTTATTGCATCGTGTTTTTTCTTGATTTCTAGGCAGTATAAATGATAATATAAATAATATAGACAGTAACGATATAAATAATAATTAAAAGTTATATATTTACTCCTTCATGTGGGCGTACACGTAAGAGTGGTTCATCACAGAGTTGCGCAGTCACTATGGGCGCGCTTCGCCTTCGCAGCAGATCCCAACAAGAGAGGCATCCGTCACACTGGGTCACTAACATCAACGAAAACCTGGAATTATTATGATCGGGTAGCACAGTTACTGTATAAAACACAAATACTTACATTTTGTGTTAAGTATATTAAGGGGAAATATAACCTCAAATGGCTTAGCAAGATCCTCCTTTATGCCGAAAGTATTGCAGCATTAATTTTGAAATAAATATATGGTAAAGTTGAGGATTAATGTTAAGGACTATGTTAGACGAAAACACGATTCCGTAAAATTTTCTCGATAGAAAAAAAATCCAAAGTTACCTAAAGAAAGTGTTATTCATAAAATACTTTAAATAAGATCATGAAACTTTGCGTACCAACTGAACTAACTACAAAGCAGTGCTTATGTTATTTACTTTTTTTTAAATACCACTATTTTCATTATAAAAAGAAATTACCTAAACTATCGGCGTCTTGAAAATTGATTCCTGTCGCCCCGTTAGTGTCACTTCGGCTTTTGAAGGGAGGAGCTGTGTCGCTTACGATCAGAATACACATTACACAACAGGACGACGTAAAATTAAAATGGGAAATAACCGTAATAAAAATAAGAAGCGACTGGGTTGACGTAAAGAAATAGGCATAAATATGATAAACCTAATGAAATAAGTATCTAACGACCTATCTACTTACAGTATTAGTGTTTACAAACATGTCGGTACTTAGCATACGACGTACGGGGAAGTGGGAGCGAAATTAGAATTTGAGCTGACTTACCCCCCTAACATTGAAAATCGATGAGCAAGTAAGGTTTTCGAGAAGTAAGTAGCCTTTTAACGACCAGTGCAACAGATTTCAGTAACTTTACTATTACTAACCAGTCAAAGCCAACAGTGCCAACATTAGTAAAAGTGAGCAGCGTTATATTGGAGAAAGTGATAGTGCTTATAATTTATATATTCCCCCATCGAATTCTTTTAACTACAGGTTTTAGGATAAAGTCTTTGGATATAATAATCGCCTATCGTCGATGGAACTGTGAAAATAAGCCTAAATTGAATAAATTATTTTTAAGATAATTGATGAATCAGGCGTTACTTTGCGGAAATCCATTATATAAATGATAATAATAGTTATTTTGTAACCATCCGCTAAATAAAATAAAATTATGTGTCGTACCTAGTTTGAAGAGCACCTCCCGCCCTCCCTCAATTGCGTGCACTAATCCTGTCACCACCAACCCCAGCACCGCTACTCCCAACACTACTACTCCCAACACAGAGGCGCAGCTCCCGCCGTATCAACCGTATCAATGATTCGGGGCCCCTGGCCTACAGGGGCCCCGAACGTATGTAATCAAAAATTCGTAAAATGTTATCCACAATCTCAATTAAACTCTTAGGCCGTACTTCCCGAGAAAAAAATCATATCATCAAATAGTGCCCAACGTACCTAAAGAAGACCTGTCAGAAATTGTCCAATTTTCTGTAGTTTTTCGATACATATCGATTACAGAAAAATATGATAATGTATCTAAAGAAATCTTTATTGATAAACATATTACAAGCACAAATTTAGAGTGGTCATCAGTTCCTAAACTAGGATATTCTACCTGTATTTCAGGGGCTAAATAAATTGTTGCCTAGACGGGGTGGATAATCGCAATTCATATATATTATTTTTCATCCGATTTTCTCCCTCTGCGGTGAACAGTCATTTATAGAAATATCATAAAAACTGGCCAAGATACTTAGCAGACATTATCAATGAAAATTTATACATATTTTTTATTTGAAAGGTCAACGCTGAAGTAAAAGGACCTCACAATGTGTTTTTTGACAAAATGTTTGAAGTGAACTCCGATTATCAACCCCGTCTGGGTGGATAGATGAACACGCGTTTGCAAGTATCTACTTTATGGTGGATTTTTTAGGGTTGATAAACGGAATAACCCAAAAAATATACTTTTTTTAGCAGTGGTATAAAGCGCTTGTCAATTTTGAGTAACGATTCATCTAAAAATATAAAATTACCCTTAAAAAGGTGTCCTACTAGATGGTCTTCAAGAAACGACGCTTTATCAGTATAAGGAAACATTATTTTTTTAATGAATTATATTAATAATGAAAACTTTCTAACAACTAAATTTAAATTTCCATTAAAAAGAGGAACCTTGTGTCTTCACTATTTGAAATCATCAATCCTGTTTCTAAAGCTTCTACAGCATGAAAATACAGTACATACGTACAGAAAAATAACATTTTACAAAGGGCACGGTAATATTATCTATACAGTATTCCAATTTCATACAAACGGACGAAGCGAGAGCTATGCCTACGCGCCTCGATCTCTGCATGCGCTCGGCATGCAGACAGTCGAGACTGTGCCGCAGTCATGATTTTGTGAAATATATAAAAAATGGAGGAAATAAATAATAGAATAGAAATAAAGAAATAATAAATCTGAACTTCATTTAAAAACAAACATATAAATTGTAAAGTAACTGCAGGTATCTATAACCAATTAAAAGATATTCCTTTTCTCCACGTTGTCCATGTTTCCCAAAACAATTTTTAATTTATATAATTTTTAGCTTTATATTAGAAAGCGGATTTTTTATATTTAAAAATCTAATAATAAAGCATTTCGTAAGTCTCAGCCGAGGTGCAAATATTTTTCGGACGCAAATTTATTTAACAGATTTGTTATTCAAACTTAAACATGGTTTTTTAATTAAATCTACCAATCAAAAAACGACACGCATTTTTATTGAACACTTCCTATTCATTCACAAAGTACCTATTTTATTTGTTTATATAAAAAGTATATTTACAGTCATAAAACTAAATGGAACACAAAGTAGGCAAATGTAAAAATGCTGGAGGCAGGTAACCCTATCACATGTTTACGTGCCGCACGGCTGTAGGCATTTATTTGAAAGATAACGGCCGAGTTACAATACTGTATAGATAATATTACCGTGCTAAGGGCAATCTTTTGAATAGACTCACCGAAATAAGAAATCAAATTTCATTACATAGTTTGCTGAGAGAGTCCAGAGATAAGCAAAAGAGTGGGGTGTAAAAACAGCTTTCAATAATTTTATTAAGGAAGATTATTAAGAAAGAAGATAACGAAGCGTTTTTTTAATATGAAGAATATCAGAAGGTGAGAGAATATCATACCCGGAATCATACTTCAAAGTCAATGTGTACTATTGCTGTTCAGATATATTAATGTCTCAAACTAAACAGTTCTAGAGCCTCTGAGACCCAACTAATGTTTTCGAAGCATTACAGCCGCAGAAACTCTTTATCTTTTTCAAACGAAATGTTCGAAATATTACAACAAGAGAAACTCAGCTGACAGCTGAAAGAAGTTTTTTAAAAATAATACTGGCTGGAAAAGGCTATCAAACTTGATAGTATTGTCTATCTAGGCAGGCAGTCACGACCGATGTAAGACGTTCGCCATTTTAATGAGTGGGGTAAAATATTTCTTCGTATTTTGTTTGTATAAAATTGAAGAAAATCTCTTTGGTTGTACTGTTATTATAAAGATTAATCACTGGTGATGAGAGTAGATTACCTACGACAAGATCGTGCGAAAAGATGATGGTCAAAGGATAATCAAGTCCACAGACTGTAGCGAAACCCGGATTAACACCCAATAAGGTGATGCTTTGTGTATGGTGGCATTATAAGGGCATCGTTTATTATAAGCTTTTTTATAGCTGGGCAAAACCATCGATTTGTATCTCTACTGCCAACAACTAGTAAGACTCAAGCAAGAAATCAAGAAAAAACGGCTCGAATAAATCATCAGAAAAGGAGTAGTCTTTTATCATGATAACGCTAGATAAGACAATCTTTAGCCACTCAGCAAAAATTGAGAAAACTTGGGAAGTGTTAATGCATCCACCATATAGTCTTGACCTTTTTCCTCAGATTTTCACCTGTTTCGGTCACTTCAGAATTCTTTGGGTAGTGTTAGGTTAATATCAAGAGAGGACTGTCAAAACTACTTGTCGCATTTTTTACAACGAGACAACGGGCAACGGAATTATGTCATATTCCTACAAGATGACAACAAGTTATCGAAGAAAATGACACATATTTTTATTTATTTATTTATTGAATATATTATTACATTCATTAATTACACATTACGTTACGGTACAATCATAAGTTTATAGAAACTTTACCGTGTACCGGTATATATACGTTATAATTAAATGTAATGAAACTGAAAAAAATGTGTACATAAAATACGAAGAAACTTTTCCCCCGACCTATTAAGTTCGCCGAACAAGACAAGATATAAGATATAATTGATTTGAATTGTTTGACAAGCTTTGTTTCTAGGAGTAATAGTAATTATTAACTTATAATCAATATATAATTATTTCAATTCAATGCGAGCGGTTTTGGGCCTTTCGTTTGGCCCCCCAACAAATTTTGATACAGGGCCCCTCTAAGATACGCTACGACACTGTCCCAACACACACACCATCACTATTTTAGAAAAGACACACCATCGACGATAATACGACACGTGTTTCGCCTCTACACGAGGCATCTTCAGGTGATGTTCTCACTTAGCGGTCAGC